CGATCACATAATATTTAAATTATCAACTGTAATATCAACACATAATATTATTATTTGCAATCAGCATATATAGTGTATCATGTTGGTCACATGACCCAAGACTCTTAGTAGTCTGTAGCTCAGTGGTAGAGCATTTGGGCTAGTAGTCGGAAGCTCATAGGTTTGACTTCTGCTGGAAAAATTCAAATTTTTTCTGAGTCACCTGCATCACTGACTGAAGTAACATAATTCTCATATTCTTAAGGCTCAAATTCACCCTAATTGTGGTTTGAAAAAATACCATTGGATATGTGCTTGACTAGCAGTATACTCATAATGACTGTCTCCTGTTGAACAGACATTTTGCCTAGTAATCTGAAGGTCTTTGGTTTTACTTATGTTGGGCCAACTTGGACTTCTTTTTTCTTGTTGCCTGAGTGTGTGACTGAAAAAAAACATCATGATCAGAACTTCTTTTTACATTTCCTATGGCACAATTGAGGAGAACTTGTTTAAAGCCCTTATAGGCCCACCTACCTGAAAACAGAAAAATACATCCAATTGTAAGCCCCCGTGGCTGGATATAAGCCCCCATTCAAATACATTCATTAATGTAGGTTTAATGTCGCTTTCTCTTCAGTCTGAGGAATTCAAATTCAACAGGCCTCAATTTCTTCAAAAAGTAAAGGAGTGGACTCAGAAATATGCAACGGGCTATAAGATATCTGCAGCTGCATCAGTGAAGGTAGTAAATGACAGCTGTAGTTTAGCAACTTGTGTTATTAACAGAATTTGTTTACATTTGGAATGCTATCAAACATTGCCGTTACCTCTTAAATGAAATGATTAAAATAACTATGTTACATACAGAAACTCTTTGGTTAAATAACAGCTATGTAACAGACTATGTTTATTCAAAAAGGGGTATCTATTAGACCATTATTATTTTGCAGTTTGTTCCCTGGATGGAATCTGCTGAAGTTGAAGGAATGCCTAGCCTGCGAAAACATCCGTTTCTCCTCACTCTTCGTCGATGGGGACGTTTCGCAAAACGTCCCCGGCGGCAAAGAGCGAAGAGAAACGGATGTTTTCGCAGGCTAAGGGATGCCTAAGGGATAACTAATGTCTTTCTATACTGTGATCAGGCTACAGGATTCAAAAAAATTATATATTCCAGCTTGTCCTCTGGGAAAGCCATTCTCCATTTTGCTTTCCCAGGGCCACTTCCTGCTCATCTTAGTTAAAGATTTTGTTTGAGGATAAATTGCCTGGACTCTTGCCCATTGGTCAAGTAAGCTATAAAACTTACTTGCCCAGCAAGAAAACCTGCTTGTCTGGGACTACCAGATGGGACTTTTTTCGAGTCCTGAGGCTATAGAGGATCTCTTAGAGACAGCAAGACAACGCCCATTGTTAGAAACTGTAAGCAACAAACTCTCTTTGAATAAGAAGATAATCAGATTTTTCCCTGGCAGAGACCCCTGTGGTTTGACGTTTCGGTCTCATAAGCGACTTCCTTCCTTAGGGGATCAGTATTGGCATTTTGGTTGGTGGCTTATGCAAAGTTAAACTGTAAAGTAAGTTGTTTTTTTTTTTCTCTATGTAGGGCTCTTTAGTTGGCCAAAGAGGTAATGAAGAGAGCAGCAGTGATTCAGAGGAGGACAGTAGTGACGAGGAAAATGCTGAAAATAATCCCCGTGTTTGCCGCACCCAGGGTACCAAGAGAGGCTCTTCTGCACGCCTCCCTAGTGAATGCAAAGTTCTGAAACAAGCTAATGCATAATTCATGATTAATTAAGAAATGATAGTGATATTGTAAATAATTATTGTAGATTATGTTCAAAATGAAAAGAAAGAACCTCTTTGATTTGATCCCAATAATTATATAACCAAGGATAAGATTAGTACGGTTCTCCTTAGGATTTTGAAAAGACGTGGTTTACAACGGAAGGTAAAAACTTAAAACTATTTTGTCAAAACGAGTGGCAGTTGGAGAAAGCCAAACGAAATTGATACAAGTCCGCAGCTTAAAGATCTGGGTTCTTTCTTCAAAGAAGCTGAGTATGTGGTATCCTTTCTATCTTGAAAATAACGATGATGTTGAGGACACGTCTCTTGCAGAGGATAATGAGGAACATTTTTGTGCCGTACTAAAATATATGTTGTGTTTCTGTTGCTGAAGAATTGTACAACTATTAATAAATGATTTTGTTCCAATCGATTGCACCAACTGAAAATAATCTTGCAGTGAAAATTAGGAGAAGGTGAACACTATAAAAAGAAATAAATCCAAAACAATGCTGTTTTCAGGGGCACCCAACGACGGTTTCCTCCTAAAGACATTAAAACACTTTTTAGGCTATCCAGAGTACTTTTAGATCTCTAGGAACTACATTCTAAGCGGCGCTATAAAATCTGGACCTGTTCAGTCATCCTAGGGGAGCTTGAGTCTTTTCGGAATTACAAGGGCTTAAGTATTATTTTACCGAATATTTTAGATGCAATGTAACGTATTACGAAAGTGAGATTTTTTCTGATTCCTCTCTCCATCACATTTTTGAATCCGAAAATTTTGGGTTTTCTTTTTTCTACAAAAACAGCCTAACCTGGGGAGTGAAATGTGAAAAATCAAACTTAAGAAAATCGTAGGGAATTTATTAGATAAGTTTCGAAAAAAGTTTACGTGAATGGAACGGTCATCTAGAAAGTTTTAGCCTTCCTCAAGCTATAGAAAATTATAGGCAATATTTGCTTCTGCGGAAAGACATTTTACAGAAGACAGTCGTGGGGTGCCCCTGTGTTTTCACTTACTTTTGTTCCAATTGTGTGTCTTCCCTTGATTCTACGTAGCGGTTAAACAGATGGGACGTGAACGTGATTGAAAATATCTATTCTTTGAAGCTGCCTGAAAGCTGAATTTATTTTGAAAAACAAATATTAAAACTGGCGTCTCCGTGGCCTGCGAGTCACCCGAGGTGACTCCCGGGTGTCCTCATGACGTCCCTTGATGTCCGATGGTGTTTGGAGGTTTCGTTGCAACAAGTGAATTCGGCTCAATAATTGTCAATTTATCTGTGACGCCATATTGTGTGAAAAGTGAATTAATATGTTCAGACGAAACACCGCCAACGAATTTCACCTCTAAAACCCCGCATTTTCATACCCTTATTATAGTCCTTCAGAGGCCAAGCCTTAAGTCCGATTCAAAGAACCCCTTCTATATAGTTGCATTGAAATTTACATAGTGATGACACAGTGATTTCCATATGAATAAATGGAACCCTGGAACCACAGGATTAACACGTCATCGTTTGGTGACGGCAACGAAATGTCATCAAAAAACGAGAGATTCACTTGATGAGTTGTTTTTTTCACTTTCTCGCTCGTTCGTGGCCGTTGTGGTTGCTTAATAAAGACCTAAGTGTATCGTAAGGTCCCTTTTTCAGCGTTGAGTGGGCGCGGGGGATCACGCGATCACAGCCTCGCTCTCAGTGTCTGTCTTCACCCTTCTCTTTATATAGGGGACGGAAAAAAAAGAAGCCCTGGGACTAGGTTGCGCACTTTGTCGCGGAAACTCATTCAAATACGCAAGTGAGGGTTCTGGAAACTAGGAAATGGTCTGTTTCCTAATTGACCTTTGCCAGCTGATGAAGTAAGGCACCTCAGTCAGTCGACTTTGAACGCGCCGTTACTTAACGAACAAAAACCCGTCAAACATGTAGTAGCTTTCAAGGCCATACCAACCAGTGGCCACGTGCACATTGCTCAGTGGTTCAGATGTGGACCTTCCCGCTGGATTACAAGGAAGGGACATCCTGGTCAATACCTGGTCACCCAGTATCAAACCAGTATATTACGTCGTTAGCCCAGGATTTACCTAGCGTTGGTGCGGCTAAAGGATATTGAAAAACTGGTTGAAGCTTTATCATTAATAGCTAATATGTATTCTTTAAGGAACATTTTATTATGTTCCTTCTATTAATCAGAGACCTAGTAAAATTTAAATAGGCGCTTATATTTTTTTAAAAGGCCCTTTTAGAGGGGCTTATTTTTGGAGGGGCTTATATACGGAGGGGAATTTGCGTTTCAAAATCGATTGAGCTAGTCTTATAGTTGGAAGGAAATTTACCGGTTTTGCTTTAGTTTGTTTTTCTTTGTATTTGAGGGAAATTTCCAAGTACAAGCCCCCCGGGGGGCTTATTTTTGGAGGGGCGATTCAACGGAGGGTTTTTTTGCGTTACGAGTCTGGGGGGCTTATATTTGCAGCGGCTTATACAAGGACGGGCTTATTTTCAGAATTTTACGGTATAAGTACTGGACGGAAATAAATGTTGTAACTCAAAATGAAATTCAGAATAAAAAAATTTTCACCTGGCTGATTCTCAATTCCTTTGTTTTCTGGCCCCAATAATCCGTGGTCATGAATAATAAGAGCTAAGAGCAAAAAAATGAGATTTTTCCTAGATTTAAGCCATTTTATCCCGAATTTCATTTTAATCTACAACATACCGGGTATATTTTGTATTGCCTCGCCGTGATGTGACGTGCAGTTTTAATTTCTTGTCAACCAATCAGGATTGAGACCAACCTCGTCCCCAGGGCCAACTGTCACCTGCATGAGCGTACTTAGCGATCATTGGGGACCTTACGAAACTACTACGACGACGGTAACAGGAACGTCGAAAAAAGCGACAGGTTTAGTGAGCAAGACAAACCTCTGCACCTACATCATGCTTTCTTGTACATTTCTTTGCCGCTCCCGCACAACCACGCTAAGTTTACTTGAGAACGGCAACAGCAAGGCGATAAATTCTACCATGTTTTTCTGAACGCGGGCGCGGTCCCCTCTCTTCAACTCTCACCTAAATTCCCTACTTCTAAGTAGCAGGGCGACTTGTGATCATCGCGTAATAGTTTGAGAGGGACGTTTTCAGCGACTAGTCAGGGAGCAAGTGTCGTAAAATTAAGTCCCGTGGGAAATTAATGCTTAAAGCAAGCCACTGGTCTAGATATGTTGAGGGGACCTTAGTGAACATGAAAAATGTTGTCGGCAACTTTGTGACCCGCACCGGCACGATTCGCGGGGGATTAAAACACGTCTCATACAATATCAGCATGGAAACGAGGCTACATCTTAAATCGTCTTTATTCCCTCTTATATGTCAATATTTCATCACCAAATTGTTAGAATAGCTTTACTCTTGCATTACACACACTTTTAGCTGGAAGTTGTGATCACGTGGCCTAAAGCATGAAAACGAGGCTAAATCCAAAATGTGCCCTTTTTTCGTAAATTGTTTCAAAATATCACTACAAAAGTAAGTTATAATGAAGAAGAAACATTTCATAGACTTTCTCACGTCAAAGACTGAAACCTTGTACCACTTTATCACTTGATTAAAGACATGAAAAAGAGGCTATATCTCCTATCATCAATGATTTAAAAATTACATTTTTCATAAACTCAGTTTTCTTGTGTTGTGTTCTAAAACAATATAATAAAATGAAGCCATATGAAATAATAACTATTTTCTAAGCTTATTGGCTCTTAAACTAAGAATTTGATGAAATAATAACCACAAGCTTGAAAACGAGGCTCTCGTGGTCAGCGGTTTTTTGCAGCAAAATACAGGTCCGCCATTTTAACTTGCAGTTGAAATAGAGAAGACCGATGGTCTTTTCGTTTGAGTTTTTTTGATGGATATCGACCCTGATCCTGACCCTGACAAAGAACAAAAATCAGATCTAAGTTTATGTATTATATGTCAAGAAAAAAATGATGAAGATCTAGTTGAAAAGCCGAATTCACATGAAATGAGTGGGCCACGTATGGTGAACGAAAGTATGTAAGAAGTCGTGACAAGCTATCCTTCTACTCTCTGGAGGATCTAAAGGAAAAATCATCATGGCACAGAAGTTGCTATAAGAATACAGTACATTCTGGGATGCTGAAAAGAGCCAAAGAGCGTTATGAAAGGCATTTAGAAGGCCCAAACGAGATGAGAAGAAAGTCATCTATAACAGTTGAAGACAGTCAACAAATAACACGATCAAAAACTATTCCATATGATAAAAATGTTTGCTTCTTTTGTGAGGGTGATGCTGGGTATAGACAAAGTCTCCATAGTGTATTGACATCTTCAGCTGGCGAATCTCTTCGTGCTGCAATTGAAATGTCTTCAAATGATAAACTTCGAGTAAAGTTAAGCTCTGCAATCGACCCTAGTGATGCCCATGCTATTGATATTAAATATCATGGAAAGTGTTGGGTTAATCATGTAACAAGTGTGCTACGTCGAGGGAAATCTCAAGCACCTGCAGTATCTACCGATCAACCAGTTAGTCGTAGAGCAAGTAAAGCCGCAGCTCAGATCGAGTTTCTAACCATGGTTGAAAATACATTGAGAAATGGAACAATTTTGACAATGTCAAAACTTCAGGAAGGATATGACAGCATTTTAGAGGCAAATAACGTCGAAAACCCAACATGCACAAGAAAGGTACTTAACCCATTCGCTCCTGAACCGCCCATAACCGCCCGTGCGGATCCAGGTCCTTTCTACCCTTTGTGACGTCATCAGTTTTAACGGTCAAGGACAACTTTCTTCGCTAACTTGTGTAGAGTGAAGAGATCTTTCAAACCATACCAGAATGAGCACAATTCAGTCAAGGACACCGGAGAAAGAAGCAAAAAACCACGCGACAAGGACCTGAAAATCTCCATGAAAATCTTGTTCCATTACCCACCTACCTTTCCTTTCACCTAATCCTAAGATCCTAAAAGCTTTCCTAAAAACTCTTCCCACCAAAATGAAGCCTACTAAATGCCCAGCAAGAGAAAAAAAAAAATGAGGCAAGAAAAGCGAAAAAAGAAGGGAGGAGAGAAAGCGAAAAGTAAAAGTCAAGACTGCTGTGTCACTTTTAAACCCAAAAACTATCTCGAAATTTTGCTTTCTGCGCATGCCCCAACTTCGCAAGCTGATATTTTGCATCTGGATCAGAAGGCCGCCAAGTGTACGACCTGTAAACCGGTTTGTGGTAAGTTTTAGCTCTTTATACTGACGACAGTGACCAGAAAACCACTCGACTAGCTTCAAAACGCGTTTTTCGGCAAAATCTCCAGGAGCGAATGGGTTAAACAGCTCATCCAGAATGAAATACAAGGTGCCGAGTTCCACAGACCCAAAAGAGTCAACGAGTCCGAAAGAGTCCCCATCAAGAGTACACGTGATTTTGCAATCCAGCAGTCAGAGGGTAGTAGTGATGTTAGTGACCAGGAAATGAAAACTCTATTTGAGGCTGCGAAATTCCTTAGAAGATCCATCAGTCAGTGCAAAAACTGGGTCTTTACTGGATCATTTCAAGATTTAAACAGCAACCATCTACCACAGGAGCTTTACTCATTTTGTAGATGGCTGATAAGTGGGCCAAGCACTGACATCAACGCCAGTAACAAGTCAAACGAAATTCACAAGCGAGCAATGAGCTTGGCACAAACTGCAGTAAGTATGTTCCTGACTG